TCAAGATGTGAGCAACATGAAGACTTTTACTATGGATATACTAAAGAATCGATGAAATAAAAGTCTAATAGTGCACAATTCTAAAATGCTTTAAATTGACTGTAATACGTACAAATTACTTAGGGATGACACAAGGATAGAGCAGAAGGATCTCTAATGGAACACGCAAAGTGATGCTTAGAAGACGGCCAGAAAAGAGCCAAAATTCAGAAACATACCCATTTGAGCAAAATGACATTTTTCTGGAACGAACAGCGCATTTCAAAAGATCCAATCAAACACAGATCTTAATCTTTCCGTTTTTGTTCTTCATCTTTATCAACATAAAGGGTGGCAGTGGTGCCTTCCTCGTCATCAAGAGAAGGTGCTGATGAACGACAGACATGAACATGGCGATGCAGTCTCCTCTGCGAATGTAGCAGATACAAAATAGTCACGTACAGTATATAGAGCAAGATTAACTAAAGGTTCAAATCAATCAAGGTTCAATACACTGAACGAAAGTAAACTCACAAATAGGGATAGTGATCGAGAACAGCATGTTTTGGCTTTGATCTTTTCCTTCGCGTGTGTCTAAAATGCAAGATTGAAGAACAAAAGTGCTTATTTTTTCTCTCTAACTTCCAAACTCTTTTTGCGCTTTTTCGCATTCCTGCATATTTATCCCGTACATTTTCACTCTATCGAGAAACGTCAAAATTAACTAATACGTTAAATAAAAGAAGGAGGAGGATATCTGTCATCCACCAAAATAATCAATTACTTTTAGTGATGATTTACCGCCTCATCGTGGCGCGGGGGTGACTTCTGGGTATCGAACTGCGAAGTACCGCGGAGGTTTATCCTCCAGCAGAGTCTCCCAAGCTGAGAAAGAGTTCGATGTTTCCGGCTTCCCGGATGCCCAGCTAAGCGTAGGCCATGCCAGAAGTACCACCGTCTGGCTGATCCAGTCGCTAGTGCTCCCTGACCCACATAAGGTCAGCAATTGCCTGTGGTGAAAGCTTGGCAGGGCCCTGGCAAGGCACTGCTGTATTTTGGGGAG